GTACCATCTTATGTATTTACAGTACAGCAGGGAAGCCAGGAAACTGGCACAGGGACAACACACAGGCCCTAGTCAGACTGCACCGGTTTTACGCGCACTCCTCTGTGTGTGTGTGTGTGTGTGTGTGTGTGGCCTGGACAGCTCTGTCACCTGTGCAGGTGTGTAATCACCACCCCACCCAAGACGCAGAGCTGTCCCGTCACCCCAAAGATCTCTCCTGCTGCCCCTTGACAGCCTCCTCCCTCCTCCCCGCCAGCCCCGCGCAGCCACCAGTCTGTAAATGGAATTGTGCCGTGGATGTGTTTTAATCTGTTAGGGTTGCGGTAACAAAGTCCCATAAACCGGGTGGCTTATGAAGAACAGAGATTTATTTCTCCCGGTGCTGGAAGCTGCGGAGTCCAAGATGCAGGCTCTGGCAGAGTCCGTGTCTGGTGAGGACCCTCTTCCTGGTTCACAGACGGCTCTCCCCTCGCTGTGTCCTCTCATGGGGGCTGGGGTCAGGTGAGGGGCTCTCTGGGTCTCTCTTACAAGGACACTAATCTCATTCTTCAGAGCTCTGCCCCCGGGACTGAATCACCTCCCAAATGCCTCACCTCCCACTGCCATGGCCCTGGGAGTTGGGGTTTCCGCACAGGAATGTTGGTGGGGACACGGACACTCCAACGGCAGCAGTGTCATTCCTTCCCGAGGCTGAGGGTTCTCCTTCGGGGGCTGCGCCTTGACATCCATCCACGCTGCTGTGTCAGTGGCTCTGCCCTCCTCACTGCGGACTTTACCCCACGGTGCGGGTTTCCTACTGTGCGTTTGCTCACTCAGCTGCTGCTGTGAACATTTAGGTACAGGTTTTTGTGCGGACAGTCCAAAATGACTTTCTGCTTCCGATTTGCAGCAGGGGAAAAATTTACTGTTTACTGGGAAATTCCCATAGAAGACTCAACCTTGATTTACTTCTTACAATCCAGGCCTTCCCCTCACCCCTGGTTAGATTCCTTCCTTCCACATCCTTTTATTGAGCATTTATCACAGGCAAGATTCTCTGTGCACGGGTCTGTCTGCAATAGACCCTGCTTCAGGCAGCTTGCCTACTAAACACAAGCAAACACATGAATGTTCCAGAGAAAAGTGAACTGCGTAGTGAAGTCGCGCGTTGGAGGACTAAGACTCACAGACAGAACTTCCAAGAAATCCTAGGCAGCTGCGGTTCTCAAACTAGGGTGTTCACACCCCATGTAGCACGAGACAGAGCAGCTTTTCTGAAATGTTGACATGCAGATGAGTCACTCAAGGATCCAGTTAAAACGCAGATTCTGTGGTGGGGAGGGTACAGCTCAAGTGGCAGAGCACGTGTTTAGCATACACGAGGTCCTGGCTCAATCCCCAGTGCCTCCTCTAAAAATAAATGAATAAATAAACCTAACCACCTCCCCCCTGCTAAAAATAATAGAAAAAATAAGAAACAAAAATAAAATCAAAAAATTTTAAAATAAATAAATAAAATGCAGATTCTGACTCTCTGGGCTGGGAGGGGACCACGATGATGCATTTCCTGATGTATTTCCAACAGTTTCCCGGGGGTGCTGGCGGCCCACACTCGGAACAGCAGGTGCTAGACGAGGGCGGGGACGAAGCCTCAGGAAGCCCAGAGCACGGGAATCGCTTGATGGTAACTTTCTGGGTGTTACTAAATACCTGTGGAATTGGACAAAGGGTTGCCAAGAACTTTAAATGTGAATAAAGAAATCGACTTCAGGCCAACTCTCTCGGGCTCTAGCTTCAGCCCGGATACGTGTGTCCACAGTTCCGTCTTTGGCTGGCTTGGGTGGAGGCTTTGAGAGGCACTGCGTCTGGGCCTTTGCTTGAAGGCTTCCTCGGAAAGCCCGGCCCTGGCTACCGGCCATGTGGTTCCCATGGTCTGTCTCCTGTGCACGTGGCCCCTTCTGCCAAGTCTTCCCTGTGCCCCTGTGGGAGCCGCTTGCTCTGGGACTCGCCCTTGGAGCCTCGGGCACATTTACCCAGTCTCATCTGTGGGGCAAATCTACATCTCTGAGGACCTGATTAGGCTTTAAAGAGAGACTTGACTTCTAAAGAGCCTTTGTCTTTAGTAAGGAATCTTCGGCTCCCCCAGGAAGGTTTAAACAATAGATGCATTTTAATCTGACGTCTGGCTCTGGCCTAAGAGTCTGTTCTAGGCTCAGTATGAAGTCACCCATGTGCCACACTTTCTTTTTTGTCTGTTTCCTCTGGGGTTTCACTCGGGTGACGCCTGTGTGGTTGCGAGACGGTGCACGTTTCGTTCTACGTGCAGAGGAGATGGCCTGTCTGTCCCTCTGGTCCTGTGCCTCTGTGGGACGAATAAGAGGTGGGGGAGGCGGGCTGGCGGGGAGGGGTGGCGTGCAAGGTTTATTACTTCCCTGAAATGGCCCAGAGCACCTGCACCGAGAAAAGCTTGGTTCTCAACCATCCAGCATCTTCCTTGGGATTGATACGCCGTCCAAATCCACCTTTGCCTCCCAGCAAAGGAGAGTGTTGGAAATGAGACCAGTGGGAGCAGCGGACCAGAAAGGCGCGCAGTCTGCCCTTCAGATGACGAATCCTGTCCAGCTGGGCGGTGCTGACCCACGGAACCGGGCCCTCGGCTTCCCTCTCCCGAGCACAGAGCTCCCAGCCCCCCGGGTGTGGGGGAGGGTCAGTCGGCCTGGGCTCTTCAGGCCCCGACACCGGTGCTCCCCTCCCCTCCTGGGCTTCTGGCTTAACTGCACTTCGCGGCCCTTAAGGGGAGGGGGAGCCACGCCACTGACACGTGGCTGATGGAACGCAGGCAGGAGGGTCAAAGCCAGCTTCCAGACCCAGTCCATGAAATGCCCCTGCAGGTGTCCCCCCACCCCTCTTTCTCTCTCTCTCCACATTCCCTGAGGACCCTGTGAGCCATGCACTGAAGAAGGCAGCGGCTCCAAAGCAGAGCAAGCAGGGTCCCTGAAGGAAGTGTTGCAGGAAACGGGGCGTGAGAGGATGGTCCGTTCCAGGTCTGAGGTGAGTCCCTGGGACGTGCCCCGCCAGGTGAGTGACCTTAGCTTCACGCAGGAAAGAATTCAGGTGAAAGCAAGTGTATTAGGAGAGACACATGTTCCACAGGCAGAGTGTGGCCCGTCTCTGCAGGGAAAGCGGCCCGGGAGTGGGGGGTTGTCGGCTTTTATGCGCTGGGTGATTTCGTAGGCCAACCAGGGGGGAGGATTATCCCAATTTTTTTGGGGAAGGGCAAGATTTCGAGGAATTAGGGCTCCCACCCACTTTTGGCCTTTTATGGTCAGCCTCGGACCGGGCGTGGCACCTGTGGGCGTGCCATTTAACAGCTGCTGTGTTACAGTGAGGCTCAACGAGGCTCCAGGTCTCCTGGAAGTGACTCTCCCGCCATCTTGGGCCTGGTTGTTTCTAACCGGTTTGTCGTATCCTGTCTTTCTCAATTGCTGTGCCACTCTTTTCATGGCTGTGCCCTGCCCCCGTCCCTCCTGTTTCAGGAGGTGTGAGATAAAGTCCCCCCCATCACCTCCCCTACCTCCCAGGGATTGAGCCAGAAATAAACATCCGCTGTGTTAAGCCCATGAAGTCCCAGCGTT